TTCTGGAAATTTTAGAAGAACATATTGAACAAACAAAGCACAGATTCAGATTCTACTCGTTGAGAAGATGAAAATACATATAAAGAACTTATAATTTGGAGCTAAATTGAAGAAGATACGGAAGTTTGAAGCTTTCTCCCTCTAATTGCTATTGGAGCTCGAAAATAAAAGGAGCAAGTTTAGAACTGATTTAGAGTTGAGAATGGTGTGTTTGAGATGAGGAAAAAGCCTTCTATTTATAGCACAAATGTTCCCGTAGGCTGTCAACAGGGCGGCTGCCCTTCGCCACCCACCGGCTGCCTACCGTCAAATCGCCGGTCAATCGAACGCGGCAACGTCACTTCGCCGCAGGCGGTCGCAGGAGGCAGCCCGCCTTCCGTTTCTGGTCTGACCGTCTTCCATCAAATCGCACCGGCCGGTCGCCGGTGTCGTCATTTTGTGCCGCAGGCGGCCACTGAGAGCGGCCGCCCTTCGTCCTTTGTCGGCAGCCTTCGGTGATTTTACGTTTCTGGTCAAAAACGAATGTTGACTTTCCAAAAATAGCGTAGGCGGCCGGAAGGGCTGTCAGTTTCGGCGCCTACTTGACAGCCTGTGAGATAATTTGACTTACTTGTTCTGTATTTTCTGCTCTTCAAGATTGTCTTCTGGACCACTTTGATAAAATGTTTGCCTCCTCCAGTATGAATTCATTTGTTACTCAAATTGACTCATTTTGTGCTGAATTGACCCGGAATTTCGTCAAACATATTATGAATGTGAGTTTTACCTGATTTCATGAAACTTGAACCAAAATATCTAAAACATGCCTTTTATTCCTGTTTTCTATCCAAAAATCGCTTAAATTTGATAAGAAAAATAAGTACAAAATTGGACTTTTCAATGGCCTTACAGCACACAACGGCGTAATAACGAGAAATTGTGCGGGGTGAGACACGACCTTTAAGACCCTGATTTATTTATAGTAGTTTGTTGGTTCATAGAAACTATATGTTTCACCAAAAGCTCGGTTTATTAAGACTTAATCATCTCGATTTGGTTCATAGTCTACAGGCACCAAACTTAAAGTCTCATTCCTTTAATCCAACGGAAATTTTCTAAAGTGTTTTCTAAAATCTCAAAATATTCATTTGAAATATGTTGGGGATTGTTGAAATATTTGGGTGTATTTCAAATGAATAAATTATCTAATAATATTGTATTATTAATAAATTAGATATTTTTGTATATGTTATTAAAAAAAATTAACGAATGATAGATCATTGAGTTTTCCAAATAATAACGGTAAGCTCTTTAAGGATGTTTTTACTTGGACTGTAATTTGTCCCAGACCAGACCAGATCAGTCCAGACCAGACCAGTTCAGATCAGACCAGACCAGACCATACTTGGATAGTTATAAAAATACAAAGAAACCAGACCTTACCAGACCAGACCAGACCAGACCAGACCAGTTCAGACCAGACCAGATCAGACCAGACTAGACCAGACCAGCAAATTACAATCCAAGTAAAAACATCCTAAATGTTCTTTCACCTTAACGTTAATATCATTTATTAGTTAGTTAATATAAACATTGTTCTCAGGGGCGGAGCCTGAAAAATGACTCAGCGGGGTCGAAATCAAATTTACATAGAATGAAAACGGAAGATTATTTTTGGACAATACCCAAATTGAATGTAGCTTAGATAAATGATAGTTTAAATGAAACTAATAGAGTATATGTAGTTAATATACTTCGTATATGTCACATATATTATAAACTTGTTTTATACGAGTTGAGTTGAGTACCTCGGATGAGACCCATTGTCTTACCCTAGTACTCTATGGTTCTCTTCGATCTTACTCGGTTTAGTATCAAGATTTCTTACTAGAAAAGAATCATTTATTAAGTAGGCACTCGTAGCAGTAGGATATGTTGTCTTTGCTCTGTCCCTAAGTCATGTCACGTAAGTAACGAGTGAATTACACGCTATTTTGTGAATATAATTAATATTACGCATCACAATTTTACTAATTTCAAACTTAAATAGTGCTGATTTTGCAGAAGTCATAACTTTTTACTCATAATGAGTTACGAGAGCCATAATAAATCAAATCGAAGATAATTCAGAGCTCTACACTCTTAAATTTTCAGCGGGGTCGGCTGACCACCCTGACCCCCCAGTAGCTCCGCCCCTGATTGTTCTAACGTTCCAACCTGAGCATGCAGCAACGTTTTTAGCAACGCTTTTACATATATATATATATATATATATATATATATATATATATATATATATATATATATATATATATAAGTGTTCGGCCAGGTGAAAGAGGAGGGGAGACAAAATGATTTTTGAATTGCACATCCCCTTATATATAACAACTTTGCTGGATTAATTTTATTTTTTACTCTCGTTGTTCTGTTATCGGCTTACGCAGAAGAGCTCGTTTTACCTTGGGAAAATGTTTTCGCTAGTCGGAAATACTTTCTTGAGAACAGCGATTACGCGACTCGAGCTGCATTATTTTTCAAATGCTTTTTGCAGGTTTATCCGGCGAATTCCTTCAACAAAGTCTGAGATTTAAACTAGATTTAAACAAATCAGATCATATTAGATTTTGACAGTTGTAAAATACAAGTGGTTTTCAAAGATAAGTCAATTACACAGTTGAACTATTTAATGTTTTTAAATTTTACATGTACTACATATTTAATTTTTTTTTCTATTTTCATAATAGAATTATTAACTAAAAATGAGTTTTCAAGTATCATGTAGTTCGATGATATTACTGTCACACTCTAAAGGAGAATGCCACATGTTTGAATCTTATCACAATTCAAACATGTTGACTTTAACAGTTTAACATAAAACATATACTCCCTCCGTCCCATAAAGAAGTTTCCATTTCGGTTTATGATGCTTTATCGACAATAAAATAACTCGATCTCTGTTAACATTAAGATTACTTTTAGTCAATAAAATTTACATATTCAGAAATAATATTAAAAAATTTACAATTCCTGACCAAGAAAATTTATATTTGATAAAAATTCGATATATAAAACAAAAAATCAAGAGTGATTTAAGTTGACCAAATCAATACTGAATGAGAATTTCATTTTGGGACGGAGGTAGTACTATAATAAGTTTTTTTGGAAGAAGTACTATAATAGGTTAGAAAGCTCAATAAAAAACTGAATACATGCGAATTTTAAAATAGATTTGCTGAGTTAACCAATTTATATACTGTTACAAGTTTATATTACTTTAATAAAATATCCACTAAATTGTTTTTTTTCTTTTCTTCCTAGCATATCCGGTCAAGTTCCTGACGGACCCTATTGGCCTATTGTTCTCGTTTAAATGTTGTATGGACTATAAAGTAATGTTACTTTCTCTCATTTCCGATGTAGAAAAAAAGATTTGCATAGAGCATTCCAAACTCCCAATCTCACAAATCAATAACCCCATTAAAGCTAATTTTGACCGTCTAATTCCTCTGCAATGGAGTGCTAAACGAAAGGCCACAGTAAAGAAGTTGGTTCTCCGTTTTGAAATCTAAATACGGTTTATAATATTTATTTACATATTTTATTTTGTCTAATTTTATTTGCTTTCTATCGAGAGGCAGAACGATTCATAACTACATAGGAATGGACTCGGACAGGCTTACCCAGCCCGCCTCTGTGCAGGCCCGGCTCGGCCTAGTTGACCGGGACCGGGACCAAGCCTGGGCCCGACCCGGATGAAGAAGCAGGCAGTACCAAGATCTTATTAAGAAAATTGTTGCTTGTACACATTGGTTGTACACGTCATTGTGCACCAATGGCCGTTGGGTATTTTGTTTATGCATAGACAAAATATCCGGCATGTACATAGCGTGTAGATGAAGCAAAGTTGATTTACTAATATAGCCTCTCCCAATGACGGAGCCAGAAAAACGGCTTAAGAGGGTTGAAACTTAACTAAAAACAGATTAAAAATGTGGATTGTTTATAAACAATACCTAAGTTGAATTTTTCATACATAGTTTAAATGAGATTAATAAAGTTATAGACTCGATATATATGTCATATGCATTATACACTTCACGTAAGTAATGAGTTAGTTTGACGATATTTTAAAAATTTAAGAGTGCAATCAATATTATCAGGAGTCATAACGTTTTACTCATAATGATTTACGAGAGGCATAATTTACCAAATCAAAAATATTTCAGTTCTTTATATTCTTCAACTTTCTGGGGTGTTTGCTTACCACCCTAACCCCCTTTGGCTCTGCCCTTGGCCTCTCCATTGATTTTTGTCCTCGTTATTATTTTGTAGTTTGTCTGGTAGTTACTTCATCTCAATAATCTTTCTCAACCTTCTTTCTTTAGTTATTTAAAAACAAACTATCATTTCCTTTTTAAATTAATAAATTTTTATTTTTGTCATTTTCTCCCTTTTTTTTCATGTAATTAAAAATGTTCAAATTTCTTCAGGCGAAGGAAGTACGTAGTACATTTTATCATCATTGAACAATTTCTCATTGAAATGCTCAATTTGTAGAAAAAGTTATACCAAAAAAGCCCACCCTGAAATTAGACTTTCTCTCAAAAATTGTACATGCAGAAAAGTGTTTAAATTGTACACAGTGTTTAATGACATGACATCATCTGAAAGTGACTAAAATTGCATTATTTGATTAATAAGTAATTATTTTGGGTATGAATATTCAGGATTTTTCCACTTCGATTAGGTTCATAAGTTAGACAATAATAGAGTGTTCTCTCGGTCCCTAAATAAGAATTCGTTTTCCATTTTTTAGCAAACAAAACAGTGCAAATCTACTTTCTTAAATTGTGCGTAAAAACTAAAAAAAATGAGGACATTTATACAGAGATGGAGTCATGGAGTAGAACATAAAATTTGGGTCTATATCAAAATATACAGAATGAGACAAAACAAAATATATGGAGAGGAATTTTAAAAAGGTACGGAATAAAAAAAAATTATAAAATGAGCTCTGGAATACCAAACGCCCCCTTTCTGCTTCATGCTGCATTTATAAAGCAGCACAACAGACAAATTTCGACTGCAACAACATCAAATTAATGGGTGATAAACTTAAGCTAAAAGCGGTTGTTTCCGACGAGAGCAGTGATGAAGAAGCAAAAGAGGACGAAAATGAGTTAGATCTTCCCTTGGATAAATTGAATTTGGGCCCTAGAAAAAAGCTCCTTGTCCTTTGTCTCGGCGATTTACTCGTCCGGAGGGTGCACCTTAGAGACAAGCACACCGTTCGTGGGTTCAAACCCGACGTCATTCACGGGAAATTTCTAGGTCAGGCTCAAAATATGAAAATACATTCCCATTCATAATGTTTTTTATACTGAAATTGTAGCTTTTATTGTTCTACTTTTGAAATTTTGATTTTGGATGAATTTGGAGCAGTGTTCAAGAGGCCATTTTGCACTGACTTCATGAAATTTTGCTTTGATCGGTTTGTGGTCGGGTTATGGTCTGCTGCTAGAGAGTGAGTTTATAAAGTTTAAATATGCTTATGTTGTATAGATGAATCAATGATTGCTTGGTCTGATTGAATATATATTAACTTATGTATGTACAGACATAATATTGATGCTGTTTTGAGGTGTATCACTGGTTATGAAAATAGAAACAATCTGGCTTTTGTTTGGGTGAGTAATTGTATTTTAAATGCGTTATTTGACAATTGCTATAATTATTTAAAATGTCAAACTAAGGATTTTTTGTTGTTGTTCAATGTAGTCACAAGAGGAATGCAGAGAATCTGGATATTATTGTCTGGAAAAGAAGGAAAAGCCTCTGTTTCTTAAGAATTTGGCAGATCTTTGGGAGAAGAAATATGGCTATCATTTTGACCTTCCATGGAAAAAGGGAGAATATTCAGCTTCCAATACTCTGCTAATTGATACTGAACCGCATGTGTCTCTGCTAAACCCAGTGAGTTTAATATTAGAAATAAATATAATGATCAATACTCAGAGCCCGTTTGGCAGCATCAAAATCGGCTGTTTTGGCTGATTCTGCTGAAATTTATGATATTGTGGCTGGAGTGGCTGTTTTGGCTGATTCTGCTGATTTAAGAAAAAAATATTTTAAAAATATATTTCATTAATAAATTAAAGAAAAAATTATATGTAAAAATAGCTAAAATGGTCCTCTACAGTAACTTCAGCCAATACAGCCAGAAAAGTAACTCCAACCTTACTTTTTCGGCTTATTACACAATTCAGTGCGCGGAAGTAAAAGTTACGTGTTTGGTGAAAAAGCTGGCTGATAAGCCTGATAAGCCGAAAACAGAGTTCTCCAAACGGGCTCTCAGTGCTCCCTCTTTCTTTTCTTTTCTTATTAAGTGTCCTCCATATTTTGAGGTTCTTAAAAATAATATAGGAAGGATAATATAGAGAGTAGAAGAGTAGAATATCTTTTATTAAAAAAAATGTAAAGAGTTATATAAAAAAGCAAGGGTATAAAAGTATTTTAATAAGTTAAATTTATAAAAATGAAAAGACGGATAAATAATAGAAAACTTTCCAAAAGAAATATCTGATACTTAAATAAAATGGAGTGAGTATATGTTTAAAATAAAGATTATTTTCCTAATAAAGAAATTGGAATAAAAATGAGTATTGGATTATCACAATGTCATTGATTGTGACCGGTATTTATTGTTAATGTTTAATTTATAGATTCCGGTGACGATGATATGATATTTATAAAGACGGGCCAGTGGTACTTTAAGTGTTGGTATTGTTGTAGTTTGGTATCTTAACTTTTAAATGAATCAAAACAGTAACTTAAAAATACATCAATGTTTCAAATTGAGATTTTATACAAATTTGCGATAAAAAAAGCATGCGTGGCGGCCGAAATTCTATGTGTATAGTCTACTTCACATTATTTTTGCCCATAAGATCACTATAGGGTGACTCTACGGTCTACACATGAAATTTTGATGATCATGAAAGATTTTTTTTACTGCAAATTTGAATAAAATTTTAAGTTGAAACATTTATGTATAGTTACGGTACTGATTGATTCATTTAAAAGTTAATGTATCAAAATGCAACAATATCAATAATTAAGGTACCATTTATACATTTGACCCTTATAAAAACAAAGATTTTCTCCTTCCCATAAGGCTTTATCAACTTTTTTCATTCGTATTTCTCTCTCTAACAAAACTTAGCTTCCAATAGCATAAATTTTACTCCGTATTTTTCTATTTCACGCCAAACAAAAATTGCAATTTCTTTCTTTTTTGGCAAAAAAATTGCAATTGTTTAACTACTTACAAAATTTTTTTGTTATATGGCGTAAGACATTTGACAAGTAAGTTAATTTTGTGATTTAATGAAAAATTATGCATGTTTAATTAATTAGAACTTGAATTTAGAATTTAGAATTTACTAGTACAATATTTTGGGACCCGCAGACGTATTATTTAGAAGATTCATTCTTTTGATGTTTCGTTAAATGCAACTTAAATTGACATTTCAATATTATATCATGGACATGTGCAGAATAATACTGCTATATTTCCGAAACCATTCAAAACCCCAGATCCGGAAGACACATTTTTAGGTGAGCTAAAATATAATCTGGTATTCTACTACAATTACTATAGTCGATATATACATATTTTAGTGGCAGTGAACACTGAACAGGATAAGTTACAATTTTATTACAACCCTTTTTTTAGGGTGTGTTTGGGAGTTGAGTTTTGGAGGGAAGATGAAGGTTAATGGGTTTATGACCCTCTTTTTCATGTTTGAGAGTTTAAAAAATTGGAGGGGATGTTTTGAAGGGTTTTTGTAATCCTCCAAAACCCTCCAATTACTCAAGTTCCCCCAATTTGAAGGGTTTTGGAGGATAATTATCAAGATGGTGATTTTAGTTACAATTCATTCATAAACATTCTCCTTTCAATTTTATTACTGAAGAAGGTTTCATCACCTTCTCCTCCCTTTCCCCTCTGACAACATACCTTCAAAACCTTCCCCTCCCCTTCCTTCTAAACTCCCAAATATATTCTTAATGTACATTTAGTGTTTTTAGATTTATTAGGATTTGAGATTTATAGATCCACCATTTTAAAACATTATTTAGGGTCCAATGGTGAGCTGCGGAAGTTTTTGGAGGGCGTTACAGATGCGGAGGATGTTCCTACTTATGTGAAGAAGCATCGCATTGGGCAGCCTCCGATTACGCCTTCCCATCCTGACTGGTCCTTCTATCAGAAAATCGTTCATCGCTTTCGCAAAAAGTAACTAAAATTTGCTGGAGGAAATTGCTATTGTTCACTTAGCCCCCGTTTGTTTATTGGCGTTTTCAACTCCAAAGTTAATATTTCTAGCGTTTCCATTTATAAGGAAACGGTGTTTTGCTCCAAAATGCTAGAATCCAAACAGCCTCTTAATAAGAAGTGATGGGTCTATTATCATTGGTGTTATCATTATTATTACTATTATTAATGTTATTATCATTGTTATTACTATTATTATTATTATTATTATTGATACTAAATGTTTGGTGTGAACATTATTTGTATGTGTATGGCACATCTTGTCTGATATTACAAAATATTTGAACAAAGTTATGAATAACTTATACTACGTACTATGTACTACGTAGTAGGTACATTCTTTGGACGAATTGTGTATGATCAAATTTGAAAAGTAGTGTAACAATAATATAACAAATAGTATAACTGAAATAATACATAAACAATTTTTAAACGTCAAAATAAAAAAAAAATAGAAAAATAAAGTGGAAATGTATAAATATAAAATTTAAATTCTTGTAAATAGATGTAAATTATACAAACAATATCAAAATTGCAAAAATACTGATTTTGACATTTTGAAAATTTTCACAATTTTTATCTATATTTCTTCACATTTTTTCATTTTTTAGATTTTTTTAAAATAAAAAAATTGTTTTTATATGATACTTCTTTTTTTTGTATAGAGGTTTGGGTGCTAAAATGAAAATAGCAAAAGGGTCTATTTGACCTTTTCCCTTTTCCTCATTACAAAGTGTTATGCAATAGCAGTAATAACATTTTCGAATCTCAAAATTTTGACTGTCATGTTTTATTTCCGAACAATTACTGTCATGTTTCGGTAGTGCCAAACTTTAAACATGTCAGTATTCTCAAACTTGACAATAATTACTCATATCCAGAGAATAAAAGCATGACCGTTCTATTTAGAATTTGAAAATATTTTTACTCTTTTTCCGAAAAATTTTCCATGACTATATGCTTTTTAAAGATATTTAGAATCATTTTACTCTCTACATATAAAAGTATTTTTTATGGTTCTAAAGTCGATCAATTTTTTATAGTTCTAAAGTCGATCAACAAGTATACCTTCAGTTGTTCGGGAGATTAGAAAAATTGATCTTACAAAACATTTTTGTTTCCTGACATCTAAATCAATTTAACATGACAGAATTCTTATGATTAGAGTAAAAAATAGTTTTTTTGGAATATTATTTTAAAGTTATTATAGTATCTGTTTTTGTCAAGGTCAACATCTTTGATTGAGATAAAATTCAAACATGGGACCTTACTCTTTGAAAGATTAGCAGTGATGGCGTGACTCCATCAGACCACTATTTGGCAAGAGTAAAAAATAGTTATAAGTATACGTAGTATGATGGAGTATATGGCCCAGAGACCAACGGTCCTCATACTCCCACTTCTCTCAAATAGGCCCAATCAGCCCAATAAGCACATGAGGCCCAGATATGGCAGTCCAGCATCAAAGAGGACCGCAACACACATATGGGTGCCTTCGGCACCAGGTCCAAGGGCATGAGACACCAGGAGACAGCCGCTCTTGGACCAACTTAGATGCTGGAAAACTTTGGCTAAAATAGTAGTCTTCAGCTATAGGAGGCCCCCGGCACATACACCAAGGTGCCTTCGGCACGCATGCCCAGCCCTCGGCCATGTGGTGCTATGGCCGAAAGGTCTACGATCAGCGAAGATTCCCTCTGAAGATAAGCAACCACCGCATTCAATGCGGTGTCACGTCCAACCACCGCATTTAATGCGATGCCACATGCTATTCCAGTGCCACCCCGATTGAAGTGACCCTTCACCGTAGGATGATTGACAAGTGTACGCGTATAGCATTTATGGTTGCTATAAATAGCAACTCATTTCTCATTGTAACAACAACGAGCTCATTTATTAGAATTTGACTCTCTCTCTTACTTGTTTGCTCCGACTTCTCTCTAGATATTTTTTATAATATCACTCGGATAAGCTATTCCGGGCAAATTATAATGTTTAAAATTTTCAAAAGATGAGTCATATATATGTGATTATGTGAAAACATCTATAAAGGTGTTGAAGCTTGATACGGCACTGCCTCTTTGTTTGTCGGGGGTGCTCTTTTGTTTGTCAGATTAACAGTGATTATGTTGAGAACTAGGGTGTCAAATATTTATGTGAGAAGTAGAAATGCAATATTTGGTTCTATAAGAGTAATAATCTCTTTGTCTCTTTTTATTTGGTCAAATTTGACTTTTCACATCAAAGAAGATAAACTTTGAGTGATTATATATTTGTACATGATAATATTGATAATATGAAATTGATACAAAAATATTCTTTGTTAAAAATACTACTACTATCACAAAAGTACAAATTTGTTGAGTTTCACGTAAATATATTAATTAAAGTAATAGATTAAAGCTAAATAAAAGGTGACAGAGGTAGTATAGAATCGAGAAAATTCCATATATAAGAGTAAAACATGATATAAAGGTAAAAAAAAATAGGAGTAGTCCTTCAACATCAGTCCCAAATATTCCAAACCAGGACCAGATACCCCGAATACCTCATCGGATATTCAGTCTTGACCTTACACCGAAACAAATTCGGTCAGATCCTAAACAATGCCAAATATGGTTCCCAACTAGGCTAGACCGTCGTACGTGGTCCACCCCTAGGTAAATCCCTGATTTTCTTTATGTGATTCAACTATGTGTACAAAAAGATAGTATAGAAAGTTGATATAAATACTTCGTTCGTCCCATAAAACTTGGCAAAACCTTCTTTTTTTAATTGTTCCAAAAAACTTTGTCATTTCCGTTAAAAGTAACAAACATGTGACTAAAACTATTTCTCTCTCCTCTACACAAATCTTATCCACACATTTTTTACGAAGAGATAATCATTTTGTATAATTGACTACAAATGCGGAGTACTTTTTTCTGTATAAATGACTGCATATCTAGGGATATTTGGATCTGATTTTCAAAATTGTTTCTGGTTTGTTTCTGCTCCTTCAAGAAGGAGCGGTAGCAGAAATTAGAGTGGGAACTGGTTTCTCAAAACAGATTCCTGCTTTGAAAAATAATGGTGGAATCAGTTCCAAATACCGTTCTTTTTTTAGGCTCGAATTAAAGCAACACGAGCTACTAATTTCGTCTCCAACCCTCCTCCAATCAGAAGAAAAATGGGTGATAAACTTACCCTAAAGGATTTAGATCTTCCATTGCAAAAGTTAATTTTGGGTCCCAGGAAAAAGCTTCTTGTGCTTTGTCTTGGTGGCTTACTGGTGCACAGGGTGCACATTAGAGATAAGCACACCGTTCGTGGGTTCAAACCAGACTACACTCATGGGAAATTCCGGGGTCAGTTACACTCAAATTCATCATATACGCAGATTTTTTTTTATTACCAAAATTGATCTGTTTTTGAAATTTCAGTGTTTGAAATGAATTTGGAGCAGTGTTCAAGAGACCATTTTGCAATGAATTCCTGGATTTTTGCTTTGACCGATTTGTGGTCGGGTTATGGTCGTCCGCAATGGAGTGAGATTTTTTTACGTTAATTACTTAATTTGTTAATAAATCAATCAATTCATATTTTTTTCATTGTATATGATGAATCAATGATTAATTAAATTGGTTTGATGAATGTATATGTACAGCCATAATATTGATGATGCTTTAAGATGTGTCATTGGTGATGATTCTAGAAACAAGTTGGCTTTTTTTTGGGTAACTGCCTTTTCGGATTTTCTCTTGGCAATTATTAGAAATGTGCCTTGTGTCTATTTTCATAGCCGTCTATCTTACAAAATACAGAGTTTACATTATTTATTTAGTTATGTTTTTGTTCTCATTGTTCATGTGAATTTTGTAGAGTCAAATGCAATGCAGAGATTCTGGATATGGTTGTCCGGGAAGGAAGGCAAAACCCGTATATCTTAAACGTTTGAAAGATCTTTGGGACAAGAAACCGGGCTGTCATAATAGATTTCCATGGGAAAAAGGGCAATATTCAGCTTCTAATACTTTGTTGATTGATACTGAACCTCATGTATCTCTTCTGAACCCGGTGAGTATAATTGACGAGGACTGTCATGTAACTTTGTAAGTTTTTAGTTTAGGTAATTGTCATACACTTATACTCAGTACATTATTGATACTACCTAATACCTATATGTAGTTTTGAATTCATCTGTTGGTATAACTAAAATAAGCATATATTACCTACATTTGATTAATTCCTTTTGAAGCTTCATAATGTGTAATTTAAATTACGTACTACTCGGTAATATTTTGATATTTTGCTATTGGTATGTGTGTGCAGGTTAATACGGCTATATTTCCGGAACCGTTCAAAAAACCCAATCCTGAAGATGCATATTTAGGTGTGCTAAATTTTGATTACTACTCCGTATAAAAACTGAAGTTCATGTGCTTTTTTTACCATAAGTTCATGTGCTTAGGGTTTCTATGTAGTTTTGGTTTAGATTTATGATGTGAGATTTATCCACCATTTTAACATTCTTTAGGGCCAAATGGTGAGTTGCAGAGGTTTTTGGAGGGTCTTTCCAGTCAAGATATTGATGTTCCTACTTATGTGAAGGACAGAAGGAGCATCGCATCGGGAGGCCTCCTATAACCCCGTCACATCCCAACTGGGCCTTCTATCAGAAGGTCGTTCATCGCTATCGCTCTAGTAATAATACGGAGTAATAAATAACATAAAAGTTGCTCCACAAAAATGCTAGTACTAGTAACTTTGAATATTAAGTTTGGTCTAATGCCATCATTATAATTGTTCTATCAAGAGTTTTGGATGTGAATGAATGCATTTGAATGAAGTATGTGCTTATTCTATACGTACTGCGTATGGGTATGAATACAAGGTTATCTGGTGTGTTTATATTTTGGTCGAAAACTTTTGTGACAAGTCCAATAAAATGTTTTTTACGTTCTTTTAAATCAATACGCGTACTAAATCAAAAGCAATCTGATCAGACTAGAATACTCAACAATTATCGAAGATATTGGACAACATAATAGTAAAGGTTCATATACTTCAAATCAAATCAGATTAGAGCTCGTTTGATAATCCCATTTTCGACTTACGAGCCTTATAAGTTTTTGATTTTACACATTGAGTTGTACAATAATCAAAATGAATAAGATCGAAGTTGCTTTTTTTGCTGATTTGGCTTAACCATATTTTTCCATATATTTTATATTTACATACGGAGTATTAATAAAATATTTTAGATGTTCAAATTTCACAATTCTTTAGATTCAGCCACTTCAAAGTTTCACCAATTTCATCAAATTCAGCTTCAGTATTATTAAACGACCTCTGAATTTTAATATTTATGCAAAGGGAAGAGGCCCTAACAGGCCAATATACGTACTTTAATGATATAAAATTTCAAATTATTAGCACCAAAGAACAGATTCAATAGGTGAAAAATACAAAGGTGTGTAATCTTGAAGTCTTTGAAGTTTGAATAAATCATTAAATAAATGCAAGAATTGTGACACTAAAAATTTGGAGTACAATGGACAGAGATGGAGGTGATAGCGCTCCCAAAAGGTCAAATGAATGAAAATTATAGAAGAAATACACTTAATGTATAGTCATAGACTACCAAAATGTGGGCTCGCTCATCAACCAGACAGACTCTCAGCAATCTGGGAAATGGCTGAATATGTTCCAAAGGCTGATGATATCACACCTACTACCATGACTAGTACACAAGCTGATGCCTGCAAAACAATTTTTTGCTTTTTTAATCCACATAGAACACAAGTTGTAGGCTTGTAGCCAGAAGAAAATGCTGAAGAGCCTGTTTGGTAGTGTAAATATTGGGTAGGAAACTGAGTAGATTATTTAGCCATGTATCATAAATATATTTTTAGCATATTAGATGGAATAGAACAATAACTAAAATATGAGCAGGAGTCTGAAGAGAAGTCCAAATATGTATATACCTGGATGTAGCTTAATTTCCCCCTCAATATACTAAGATAACATGCGCAAGGAAGTATCAATGTCTGAAGAGAAAAACATTTGATTAACTATATTTTCACACAATGATTGAATAGTAAAACATCACAGTAAGTCTATAGCAAGTGAAAATGGCACAGGTATAGGTGACTTACAACTAGCATCGTGAGAAATGATCCAATTAATGACATTACAAGACCTGCGTAAATTTAGGAATTCGTTGCAATATTAAAAAATCAATATTTGAATATATGAATGATGGGAGGTTTTGTTTCTTTTCCAGAAAATTTCTGCAGATATAAGTACATCATAAGAAATACTTACCAAAGAAAGGTATTAAGAGACCAACAATCAAGGAAGAGATAACCAAAGCTGTCCTGATGAAAATTGAGTACATCCTAGACTTGACTTTGCCTGATGACGGTATCAATTCTTCAAGACTCAATGCCACAGGAGCAATGGTCAAGGCATACTTTGTAAATGGGTTGACCACAGTTGTCCACACTGCTATTTTTGAGGCAACTAAATCTTTTGGCATATTCAGAGTGAACTGTGATTCTGCAGAATCTCCAAACATCATATAACCCATCACCGCTGTTCCACCATACAGCAGAGTCACTATCCCAAAACTGCATCCATCCACAATCGCACGTGTTAATTAATCAATAATCGGTGGTCTTAAATCCACCCCACCCAGACGTTCTTTCAAGAGATGATGATTGTCCAACGACTCCAACACTGCTTATCAGTTATCAGGTAGTTCATTCATATAATCATATTTAGCCAAGATGTTAAGATCAAGGAGTTCATTCATTATTATATAAATGAGGATATTTACTTGTGTCAGACTGGATTTTATAGCATGTTAAGAGCAAGTGTTTATATAAACCCCGAAAGAGATGGAAGACTGTCAAACACTTGTTCAGTGATTTGTTCATACATAGCCAAAGTGTGACATTATTCAACAAAGTACCTGGTTAAGAGGACGGCAGGAAATTGGTTACGTTTCTGCATTGAAGTATAAATATTGGGAAACACAGCATGGCCCGAGTAGCAATAACCATACAGACCAATTGCCACCGGAAGAGTGGATAGATTCAATGTGGTCCCTTTGCTTTCGAAGCCAACATGATTAACCAAGCCATTCCAGTACAAGGAGGCAACAACCAAGAGAGATGCTATAACTCCTCCGACTGAAACACAAATAACTTTAAATTAAAGAACATGCATTATGCAGGTGTTACTAAATAATGAGTTAAATAAAATGCTCATCACCTGAGATATAACTAAGAAGAGTGAGGTCCCGCAGCCAGGTAGTAGGAAGAACAGCCAGTGTTGCTATGAGTGCAAAAAGATTATGTGCATCTAAATGTAGTCCTCCAAAAGTCAAATGTGCATTTGGAAATAAGGATGACAAATTATCACCTTCCAAAATAATATATTCAATACAACATGCCTGCAAGCAGTGGCCATAGATAATAAGGTCATCATAATTGAATTCCCGCAGATTCCATGCATTTTCCTAGGAATGGGCTAATTAATTCATCTTCTCAGTGCTCTATCCAAAAAGGCTATAGGACAGGAGTGACCCAAAAGCTTATAAGTTGGTTTGCAGTTTTATACTCGTATTCCGTATTATTTAATATGGAATGACTTGACACTCAACAATATATATTAATTGTCAGAACATGTCTGAATTTACATGGAACTAATGGTATTTACACTCTTTTTTATTCTTTGAAGATACTGATGACAAATGGAAAGCACTGTGAGCCATAAGACAAAAGTAGTGTATGACATCTAATACAGAAACAGTATAACCTCATAATGCTGAGTAGTTAAGGCATAATGAGGCACTCATACTTACATATAATTCCGCATATAAAACAATCTGCAACCACAGAACACACCAAGGTAAAAAGGGTGTCAGTGCAAGCTATGCTTTAAATTCTCATTGCTTTATTTAATGTGCAATACACAAAAACTAAAAAAGTTGCATTTTTCATAGGTAGCAGAAAACCAAAAAACTTACAGAAATGACAATCCGGCCAGTTGAACCAAATGCGGCCTGCCCAATGTCTGGATAAGTCTCAAGTCCTGGTTGGCTGTCTAAGCAGTAGCGCAAAAGAATCCCAGTGTAGAAGGAAAGTATAGCAAAGAAAAACAATATAAAAAGCCCAATCCAGCCACCCTCTTTAACAGCATAAGGAGTAGAAAGGATCCCTACTCCACATAGAACATTAATGCCTGTCTTGAAACAAACACATATATATTTGTGAAAATACTTTGGCGGTGGATAAGATGCAAATGTAGCTAGTCTAGCTGTGTAAACATAAATTTGCATTTGCATAAATAAATTCCAATCTATTTCTACTAAGATTTTTTTAGTAAATTCAGTAGAAGTATTGTTTTGCAAGAAACCACACAGATTCAGGAGATACTAAATGGAGAAAAGCATAGCAATTCTACCCTTGCTATACTCATTTTAGCAAGGATTTGTGCACAAAAAAACAAGGGCAGGGTGTCAGAGGAAGCCAGATCGACCTCCAAAACAAAGCGCGGGTAGCACAGATAGCCTCACCTAAAGGGCTATCTGTGCTAAATATTTTCCTGAACCTTAATCTGGCACATGTGTCTTAAAAAGGTTTAAAAGGAAAAAGAGTATTATTTAAGAAATATTGTCTTAGTTTAAAAAAATGCCATATTATGAAACACCTTTCTCTCCAAAATGACACTTGATGTAAACCTGAGGAGAAGTTAAATAACAGGCTTAACCTGAATGACTATTTTAAATGAGGTACGGAAAAAGATATACCGTTTATCACTGCTTGACCAAAGGAGCTCTGTTGAGGCATGGGAGCGTCATGAGTGAACTTAGAGGCTTTCCCATCATGGGTCACCTTTTTAACAACTGAGGACCTCGAAGAAGGTATAGGAGGAAGCAAAGCATGGGAGCTTCGCCTTTGTTTCTCCTCTTCTTGTGGCGGTAAGAGTGGCTTTTGCAGTGTGGGCAAGATCTCAGGAGTGTGTCTCTTTGTAAGTGTTGAAGATAGAAACGAACTGCCCAAACGTGACAGTGAGGGTGTCCCCAGAAAGTTGATACTTGGAGAGTGTAGACTACTATACAAATCAATAGATTGCCTGCACCAAGAAGTATATAGATTATTTAACTTGAGCAAACAACAAAATGATGATGTGATGCATGTTCACTACTTCGCTGTATATACTACTATTACGGAGTACTATTTGTGTTCACTTTTAGTTGTTTCCCATTCCTTTGTGAAGGTTTATTGTTATGAGTTTTTTCCTACACTATTACTGAAATAGAACTTAAACAAAAATATGATTGAAGTTATCTTTGAATTTTTATCAAGTAAATTAAACTTTGACCCCTCATTTATTTTTATAAGAAATAGTTATTGTTTAAAAACGATATAAATATATTCTTTGTTAAAAAAACTTTTATAAAAGTATAAATTTACAACTTTCATAAAATTATACTAGTCAAAGTCATCCTCCAAAGTTTACTATCTTTGACTTACTTGACAAAATTTTTAGAGACAGAGGTAATATGCTATGGAGTATAATGTTATCATTCTTATGGTCACTTCGGTGTAAATATGCCATTATTTCTATTGTTATTACTCCGTACATTACTTTTGCAAATGCTGTTATATTAAAAAATAAAAATGCTTGCCTTTTCATCTGTTCTCTCCTGCCATTTTCATTTTTCAACACTAGTCACCACACTTATAGAGCCCGTTTGGCAACACTGTTTTTCGGCTTATCAGGCTTATCAACCAACTTTTTCACCAAACACGTAAATTTTGCTTTCGCGCGCTGAATTGTGTAAACTTTGTAATAAGATTAAAGTTACTTTTCTGGCTGTATTGGCTGAAGTTATTGTAGATGACCATTGTAACTATT